TGTGTTGTTACTTGTAACACGTATTCTCTTATAACATGGTTGATACACAGCAGTTCTATCAGCCGTGGTGTTTTCAGCGTTTCTCTTGAGCCGTAACACTTTTCACCTGCTCTCTCTCTCCTTCCTGCTGTTTTCTTCCTCTTTCCACTGTGAGCCAGATCAGAGACAGCGAGTGTGTTTGGACCTCACACCATGCCGCTTTCTCTCTTTAATAAGCCAGGCTAAATCGCTAACTCGCTGTAACCGTCTTTATCAAAGGCTGGGGCCTCCTGCGGAGTCTCTCCAAATAGAGCCTACCCTGTATCCAGCGGCCCAGTCTGGGTCAGTTTATCCTGCCAAAGTCCGGCATTATCCTACAGAACCTACACAAACACACTGATCCAGGATCAGACCTCATGCTGGCACTCGGCTCCAGTGGTGGAGATCAGCAGGGTCTTCTTAAAGTCTTGAGAGAGAGAGAGAAAGAGAGAGAGAGAGAGAGAGGCATAGAGAGAGAGAGAGAGCGAGAGAGAGAGACAGAGAGAGAGACAGAGAGAGAGAGAGACAGAGAGAGATGAAGTCAGGGATGCAGAACGGAAGAATCAGTCAGGAGGAAAGACAGAACAAAAATGAAATATTTGATATCAGCCCACCGCTCTCAGACATGACAGACAGACATATGTGAGAGACGGAGAGAGAGAGGAAGACAGAGTGTATTATGTCTAATGGAAGTGGACTAAGTTGTGGTTGGATAAACATGAAACAACAGCTATATATATATATAAATATATATATATATATATATAGTGTATGTGTGTACACCGATCAGGCATAACATCATGACCACCTCCTTGTTTCTACACTCATTGTCCATTTTATCAGCTCCACTTACTATATAGGTGCACTTTGTAGTTCTACAGTTACAGACTGTAGTCCATCTGTTTCTCTGATACTTTGTTAGCCCCCTTTTACCCTGTTCTTCAGTGGTCAGGACCCCCATGGACCCTCACAGAGCAGGTACTATTTGGGTGGTGGGTCATTCTCAGCCCTGTAGTAACACTGACATGGTGGTGGTGTGTTAGTGTCTGTTGCGCTGGTCTGAGTGGATCAGACACAGCAGTGCTGCTGGAGTTTTTAAACACCTGTTGTGTCTGATCCACTCGTACCAGCGCAAACACACACTAACACCCCACCACCACATCAGTGTTACTGCAGTGCTGAGAATGATCCAGTATTTTCCAATATCCAGTATGATCCAAAATCTTTCAGTTTATCATAGAACTCTGCAGGAATATTTTTCCACACCTCCCAAGTTCAGTCTTAGAGGTTGGTTGCATTTTCTGCTTCTCACAATCCAAATAATCCCAAACACATGCAGTGATGTTGAGATCTGGACTCTGGCGTGGTCAGTTCATTGTTTTGAGAACACCAGCAGCTTCTTTGTTTGATGTACAGATTTTCTTCTTTTGTTGTTTATTTCTTTTTCTCACTAACGGCTTCCGACCGTGCTGAGTCGTCTTCTCACAGTGGAAGGATGGACAGGAACACCTGTGGATGTTTTCAGATCTGAAGAAAGAGTGGAGCTTGATGTTCTCCTGTGTCTCAACTAAGAAAGCTGTTTGTCTGATGGTGGCAGTTTTGGTGTCTACCAGGTTGCAACAGAACAGGTGTAACAGATCAGTATTCAGGAGAGAGATCTGTGATCGAAGCGTGCTGGAGGGTCAGGAGTTATGTGATCTCCCAGAGGATTCTGGGAGATGGAGTCCAGGGAAACCTCTGAGCCATAGGGATGCGTGACAAAGAACTTGTACTTAATAGCCTTTTTAACTGGTAATGAAATAATTGAGGGGTGGTCTCTGACTTTTGCAAAGCACTGTAGCTACATAAAATCTTTGCTGATATAGGCCTACCGTGCAGTACAATTTGGATCAGCACAGTTGCCATAGCAACAGAGTGTGGTCATCCTCCTTTCCGAACAGATCTAATTTCGTTAACCTTCCTTTTAAGGCGTGATGTCATGCGCGGTTTGTGATTTAAGTTGAAACATTTCAGGTTGCTTTCTGTTCCGCGTCTCGAGAGCATCCTGAAAAGTATTAATGTGAGAATTAAATTACTGTTTGAGCTCCAGGGGTGAGAAGCTTTGCTCTTTCTCTCTCCCTCTCTGTGATTTTATTAAATTCTGCATTTCTTACCCTCAGTGCCACTTGCTCTGGGCCTTGCTTGGCGAGGGTTGAGAAGCGGAGCGCGTATGAAGGCGGCTTTGATTGCACCTTCTATACGTTGCAGTTTCTTTCACCGTCGGTGTAACGAGTAACACACTTTAGGGCAAAAATAAATTCAGCATTTTACTGTCAAAACTCCTTTTCGGTTGTTATTTTTCTCTGCAGCTCTCATTAAAGTGGTTTGGAGATTTAGGGCATGCACAGATTTCGATCAGAAGCGTTATGAGCTCCGCTGCGATGTGTGGATTTAGAGCAGCCTGCAGCGAACGTGCTTAACTGAATTAGAAAAATGTTTGAATGTACCTCCATTGATTTTTGGCTCCCACCTGTGCATCTCTGCGTTTTGTTAGATGAAAAGGGAGAAATTTGAATTCAAATTGACGTTAAAATAGCCTCTTTCAAAGCAGATCTCTAGGATTTGCTCTGCATTCAAGCCTCTAAAAACGTTCTCAACAGTGCATATAAGGCAAAAATGGGAGAAGGAATCGAGCAGGCAGTTCACAGACGGAAGAGAATTTGACTGGAAGTGCTCAGTCAACCTTTTCTTAATTAATAAAAGCTCATTATGAACCTTTCAGGCAGGAGGTGAGGGGGTCGTACAGGATATTGGAAATCAGCTTCTCATGCTTAAAAGTTTGCTTTGGAAATAGACTCCAGTCTGTGTAGTCTTACACGTTCACTGAATACTATTATTGGTAGCTGGACTTCACTAGAGCTGCACATTTATTAAAAATTGCTTTTGAACTTTATGTTGGTAACAATCTGGATGGTCCTTTTCTTCTTAGGCTGGAGAACAGGACGTCCATTAGTTCCATAAACCACCTGAAAGGCTCATCAGATCACAGCACACGTTTCCACTGTGCATCGGTCCTTTTCAGAAGAGCTCGAGCCCAGAAAGTCTCCAGCGTTTGTGGTTGTTGTTGTTATTGACGACATATGATGTCCACTATGCATGGGTGTAGTCTTGTATTTGTGAATGGAGTGATAAACTGTGAGTTTGTGAAAGTACTCTTGAGCCCATGCATGCTGGTTTTTAATACAGTGCTGTCTGAGGGATCGAAGGTTGTGGTCATTCAGTTGGCCCCGCCCTTTGCGCACAGAGATTTCTATCATTTCCCTGAATTTTTGATGATATTATGCACCATAGAGGGAGAAATACCTAAAATCCTTGGAATCATTTGTTGAGGAACTTTGGGCCTCTTTCACCAATCTTGAGAAAAGCCCTAAGAAAATTCTACGTTAGATGGTCAAAGTCCTGACCTTAATCCTATAGAAATGTTGTGGAAGGACCTAAAGCAGCAGTTCGTTGGAGGAAGCCCACCAACATAACAGACCTGAAGCTGTTTTGTACGGAGGGGCTAAAACTCCACCGAGCCGATGTGCAGAACTAATCAACAGTTACTGGAAACATTTAGTTGCAGTTATTGCTGCACAAGGGGGTCACACCAGATACTGAAAGCAAAGGTTCACATACTTCTCCTCACAGATATGAAATATTGGATCATTTTCCTCAATAAATAAGTGACCAAGTCTAATATTCTTGTCTCATTTGTTTCATTTGGTTCTCTTTATCTACTATTAGGACTTGTGTGAAAATCTGATGAAGTTTTACCAGAACCGGTTTATGAAGAGCCTGGCCACTTCCTATTTCCCCTGTTATATAAAAATCAGGACTGCTAAACAGCAGAGGGCGTTCGCGAGCAAGTCCTCAATGAATGGGAGTAAATGGAGCTCAACGGCAAAAAACGAAAGTTAAAATAGTTTCTAATCACTGAACCAGAACTTTCCTTTAACTTTAGAAAGTAGAAGGATGTATTTATGTATTTCACTAAAAAAAACAAAGAAAACTCACCTGTATGTTTCCTTTTTTCTATAGTAAACGGGTTTTGGGCAGCAGAACGCTAACATTACTGCTACTGAGTGCTGATTGGTTGGTGAGCGGAGCAGCTGATCAGCTGTTCGCACTCAGAGACGTCGTGAACGTACATGAGGCACCGTTTTAAACTCTTATAACTCGAGTTTAAAAGCTCTTACAAATATAACAGCAGTGTTTAAATGTTTTATGCTGTTTATTCTTTTACATTAAAAATATTTAAGCATTTATAAACTATGATTTTGCTCAAATGCTCCATCTCGCGTTTGAGAAACCCGGAAGACATTACAGAGCGGTAATTCTCCTCTCTGGTTTTAGGTCAAATTTCTGCAGAAATATAGAAAATTCTAAAGGGTTCATAAATGTTCAAGCCCCACAAGAAGTGGGCTTTAAGACGAGATTTCTTCTTAAGAACGGTGGGTGAATCAGGCCCATTGTTCTTAAACTGTTGGATTATTTGCTGGCACATGTTTTGGCAATGTGGTGAGCGTCAATCCATCCTTGCTTAGCAAGGACTAGGCCTGTCGTAGATGCTGTTTTTAACATTTCACAATGTTCCTAGACTTAAGTTGCCACTGCCTTGACTTTTTTGCAGGCATCCATTTGAGAATGAGTGTATATTTACAAAAAACATGAATTTGATGAGGTAAAACATTAATATATCGTCTTCGTACTTTTTTTGGTTTAAATACATGTGAATTTACATATCACTGCTTTCTGTCTTTACCTGCAGTTCATATACTGTCCCAACTTTTTCAGGAATTAAGGTTTGTATATTCCCAGATAAAAATGGTGACTTCCAGCAGCAGCTCTATTTTCAGAAAGGATGAGTCAGTCTCTGATGATGTAATTTGGGCCGACTGTCTCATGTAGGTGACATCATGCTCTGTACGGTGACCGTGTGTGCTGGGTTTTTGTCGTTGCAGGTAAGATGTTTAAGGCGCTGGACCTGTCACTCATAGTGGAGTTCATGCTGATGTTCTATAAGGACAAGCCCATTGACTGGCTGCTGGACCACATCATGTGGGTGAAGGTGTGCAACCCAGAGAAGGATGCGGTATGTTCTCTCTCTCTCTTACACGGACGCACACTCTCTGTCTCTCGCTCTCTCCCTGTCCTCACTGAGTCACTCTTTTGCTGAATTATTCTCATGATCATTAGTCATTATTAGGCATAATGTTATAATTACTGGAGTCTAGACTGATTTCTCATTATAGTCACTCTCTATCACGTCTCTCACTGTCTTACTCGCTGTAACCTTGGACTTCCACTTACTGACCACTTTATGAGCTCCACCTACCTTACAGGGCACTGTATCCTATATGTGACAAAAGTATGTGGACACCTTACACCTAAATGAGTGGGTTGGACATCTCATTCCAAAACCATGGGTGTTAATATGGAAATTCCTCTGCCCCTTTGTGGCTACAACAGCCTCTACTAAAGGTTTTTGGCAAGATTTTGGAGTGTGTTTGTGGGAATTTATGCCCATCCAGTCAAAAGAGCATTTGTGAGGCCAGGCACTGATGTTGGTCGAGAAGGCCTGGCTCACAGTCTATGTTCTAATTCATCCCAAAGGTGTCCAGTGGGGTCAAAGTCAGGGCTGTATGCAGAAAACTGGATTTCCATCACACCAGACTCATCAAACCGTCTTTATGGACCTCGCTTTGTGTGTAAGGGCACAGTCACGCTGGAACAGGAAAGAGCCTGCCCTAAACTCGTGCCTTGAAGTTAGAAGCATATAATTGTCTAATATGTGTTTGTATGCTGTGGCATTACTTTACCCATCACTGGAACTAGCACAAACCCTGAAAGAACAGCACAAGGGGGTCACACAAACAGCCCCAGATAATTATCCCTCCTCCACCAAACTCCACTGTTGGCGTAAGGCATTCCAGGAGGTAGCAGGTGGTGGGGTTGGTTGTCACGTCTGTGACGGGAATGGTTGGCACAGGTCCATTTGGACTCAATTTAGGACAGTTTTGGAGGACAGTGTTTTTGTTTTTGTGTATAAATTTGGATTTCTGGAGATGATTTTGACAACACGATTACTTAGATTAAATGATGTTTAATAAAATTAATTGAAAATGTCAGTTTCTTTCAGAAACTTCTTTTTCTTTGCTCTTTGATGAGAAGTAAACTTTGGCGTAGTCATTCTTCATAGACATAAGTTATGGCGATTGTGACAACCGACCCCACTATGGCTCTCACCAGAGTTTGGAGGGTTACTTTTACAGTGTATTCTGGTACAGATTACTGGTTACCTGTTAAAAATGTAACTGTAACCTAATGCAGAGGATTACAGTGTTAAGGTAATGTAATCAGATTACTTTACATTACTTCTGTTTTTAAAGTCATACCATTAAATAAAAACAAAAGAAAATCAACTTTTTCTGCAAAAAATTAATTTAACACAAGGCAAACAGGAGAACTGCTCTGTTTTATGAAACAGAATGATTATAGGTGACCTAAATCACAGTCACTGATCACTAAATCACAGACACTGATCTCTAAATCACAGACACCGATCTCTAAATCACAGTCACTGATCACTAAATCACAGACACTGATCTCTAAATCAGACACTGATCTCTAAATCACAGTCACTGATCACAGTCACAATCACAGTCATTGATCTCTGATCTCTAAATCACAGACACTGATCTCTAAATCACAGTCACTGATCACTAAATCACAGACACTGATCTCTAAATCACAGACACTGATCTCTAAATCACAGTCACTGATCACTAAATCACAGTCACTGATCACAGTCACAATCACAGTCATGATCTCTGATCTCTAAATCACAGACACTGATCTCTAAATCACAGTCACTGATCACTAAATCACAGACACTGATCACTAAATCACAGACACTGATCTCTAAATCACAGACACTGATCTCTAAATCACAGTCACTGATCACAGTCACAATCACAGTCATTGATCTCTGATCTCTAAATCACAGACACTGATCTCTAAATCACAGTCACTGATCACTAAATCACAGACACTGATCTCTAAATCACAGACACCGATCTCTAAATCACAGTCACTGATCACTAAATCACAGACACTGATCTCTAAATCAGACACTGATCTCTAAATCACAGACACTGATCTCTAAATCACAGACACTGATCTCTAAGTCACAGACACTGATCTCTAAATCACAGACACTGATCCCAGTCACAATCACAGTCATTGATCTCTGATCTCTAAATCACAGTCACTGATCTCTAAATCACAGACACTGATCTCTAAATCACAGACACTGATCTCTAAATCACAGTCACTGATCTCTTTAGCAAAACAGCCAAATCTAAGTGGAGCAATACAGTGAAATATTTCAAGCATAAGGAAAACAAATTTGCACTGTATAATTTGGGTTTAGACCCAAAAAGGGAACGAATTCAGAAAACAAGGTGAAGCTTCCCAGGAAAACATCTGAGTGATTTAAACTTGAGGCTGCGCTTTCTGTTCACGTTTGGGAGATATTAATGTTAAGGGTTCACTTCAGCATTAAATGATAGCTGGTTAACATTTGCAGAAGTTTGATTTAAAGCCAGTAAACAGTAAAACGCTGCAGATCTCAGTTCTGTCACTCATAATAAATGAAATACTTATTAAGAATTCTATAGATTGGCTGAAGAAAACACTGTGAGCTGCTGCTGGGAAGGAGGATTCTTCAGAAAACTCTCCAGGCAGCAAAATGACAGACCCTTCAGATATACAAGACCATGGGGCATATTAATCATTCAAACAGCGATTTTCAACAAAAGAGATGGGATGCAGTTACAATGAGTGCGCACTCAATAATCCGATCATAATCAGATTTCTGCAGTTATCCGATTATTCAAATGATCATGAAAACACCATACTCCGATCTAGAAATCCGATTAAGAAATCTGATACAGAGAGCTGGATTTTAGCTCAGTAATCCGATTTCTCAGTGCACATAAACTCATACTCCGATTTCTATCGGATTTCTCAGTCTGCGCGAGATCAGGCGGTGGATGTCGCGAGACGCAGCAAAACAGTTTGGGAGTGGCGCTGAAACCAAACATGAAATGAGGGATTTGAATATTCTTCATCTTCTAGATGATGTTTGTTGATATTTTGAGGTAAAGCAGCGCGAAGCTGCGGCATGAAGTTTGAGTTCTATGTTACGTTTACGTCACGTCTTCTTCTGTGAGTTTATCGGCTGGATCTGATTACTGTCTGACTCATGTAGACTGATTACTTAAGTGCACGTAAACATGTTGATCGGATTACTGACAAAATCAGATTTTCTACAGTTATCAGATTATTGAGCGCATGTGAACACACTCAATGTAATCATGCAATCTGATGGCTGTCTTTTTTTCCTTTTTTGATCTACGTCTGATTACGTACCGATGTTACATGTATTCCATTACTATCCAACCCTGGTTGGCACAAATGCATCTGTTTAAAATCTAATATTTCATTGTACCAGTGAAGTCACTACATAATCTTTCAATTATGTTGATTTTGGGGAGAACAGAGTGAAAAATGACAGCGTTCCTCTATAGATAGCAACCGCTGGTGTAGTGCCCGGTCGCCATGGTTGCACAGCAGGTGCAGGTGTTTAGCTTTCTCATTCAAGCGTGTTGAGGTGCTTGACAGCTCTGTGCGGGCGGTAATTTGACAAGATGTAGTTGCAGGCTTTGTGCGCGTCAGAGGAGGTGTGGAGGAGATGCGCTACAGCAGCGTTTTGGAAGACAACACCTGTACAGATTAATAATTTAGTAACACATTTAGAAATGAATCTGTTTATCAGATTGTTGCTGCTGCGCTCCTGTAGAGATCCTGTAGAGACAGTGGGTTTTTTTTTCCTTTTGTTTATTTATTTATTTATTTTTACAGAAACACTGCGACAGGCAGAAGGCGAACCTGCGGATCCGCTTCAAGCCCTCGCTCTTCCAGCATGTGGGAACACACTCGTCTCTCGCTGGAAAGATCCAGAAGCTCAAGGTGTGTTTATGTGTGTTTGTGTGCTTGTTTTAGGATACTTTCAGGACAAAATGGCCCGATAGATACATGGATATGAAACATATGGTGCTGTGTGAAAGTCAGAGACCCCCTTCATTCACTTAAATTCCAGTCAAAAGCGCAATTGAAAGCAATTGAATGGAGTTTTGGAACAACTGAAGTTGAACAACTGGTGGGGAGGACATACGTAAAACCCCTCCAGTCTAACACACTATACACTATACTCCAATCTCCTGTTTCCCATGACAATGTTTGGCCTGAATGGTCTTGTAAAAATTTGTTCAAAGATAATTGGAGTCCAACAGAGAGACCTGGGCTCCCTGTGGGAGAAACAAGTGGCTCAGAAAGCGAAAGGAATTATCAGTCAGTCGGATCATATTTTGTCCAGCGAGTTCACTGTAATGTCGTCAGGTTGGCGCCCCTCACAACAATTCACTGCTCCAAGTCTTTTATTCCTCCTGCCGTCAAGCTACTAAACGTGAACACTAGTCTTTTTAAATGATGGTTATAGCTATTCGTTGTCTCCTTGCATTGACTCCTTATTTATCTATGTATGTGGACTTGTTGTCTCTGACATATATAACTATGTATTTATATATCCCTGTTGTCGAAAGAAAACCTCGTATCTCCATTTTTGACGTTTTTCAGTTTTTGACATGATTTGAAAATACCTGTTGCTCTTTACATTGTGTGTAAATTTCATGATGAATGGAACAAAAGAAACGTCCCAAAATGACTTGGAAAAAACTCTGGTTCCATTGACTTACATTAAAAGTAAAGTATGTTTTTTCCTTCTCCTGTAAAGTTACTATTTTGGAGATACAAGGTTTTCTTCCAACAACAGCGATGTATGTATTTGATGTTTTAGCTTCATGCAGAAGCCGTCCAAGTTCTCCAGCTCGAGTTCTTAGAGTTCTCTACTCTCTCAGTCACACACTTTTCTCATACCACCACCATACCTTGAAGGCACAATCAAAACCCACAAAGTACAAGTTATTCTTATTTCAGAGTCAGGAAAAACAAAAAAACCTACATTAAACAGAAAAATACTCAGAAACCTCAACAACTGAATCGATTTTCCAGTATTCAGTCTGCACCTTTTGATGTTATTACAGCTTCCGTTTCGCTGTTGTCGGAGCAAAACCTCGTATCTTTACAGGAGAAGGACAAAAACTACTTTACTTTTAATGTAAGTCAATGGAACCAGACTTTATTCCAAGTCATTTTGGGTCATTAAAGAGAGATAGGCATTTTCAAATTATGCCAAAAACTGAAAAACGATAAAAACTAGGCTACGAGGTTTTCTTCAGACAGCAGCGACATATTTGAGGAGATATTTTCCCACACCTCCCTGCAATTTGGAAAGACTTACAGCAAATTTTAAAAATAATACAAAACAATTCAAGAAATCCTGATCATAATTTATACAATATATTGAGCTGATTTATCTTTTCAGACACCAAAAACAGTTTAAAACCCATACATATAATTTGATAGCTGTCCAATAATCCAATAATCCTGTAATCCCTGTTTATTGTTTTAAATGCTCTTGTTTATCTGTCCTGTCTTGTCCAGTTTGTCCACTGTCGAAATGTTTTCTTTTTTTTCTCCCTTCTTCTTCTTTACATTTACATTACATTTACAGCATTTAGCAGACGCTCTTATCCAGAGCGACTTACAAAAAGTGCTTTGTCTATCTAGAGAAAGTATCTTTGCTAGTTATAAACAGGTTAGAGAGAAAGCCTGAGCTCAGATCCTGCTAGAAACAAAAGCCCATGTTGATAAAGAGAGAAAAGAAACAGAGTTAAACACAGTGCAGTACAGTACTTTTCAGTAAGTGCAGTACAATACATTACAATAAACACTTAACTCAGTGCTCACTTAAGTGCTGTATGAAGAGACGTGTCTTCAGTCTGCGTTTGATGACAGCGAGAGACAGCCAGTGGGAGTTCGGACAGCCAGTGGGAGTTCATTCCTCCACCTGGGCGCCGAGACAGAGGAAAGTCTTGATGCTTGTCTTCCACGCATCTTGAAGGATGGCGGGTCAAGCTGAGCTGTACTCGAAGCTCGAAGGGCTTCTGCCTTGTCTCTCAGCTATCTCTGTCTTTCCTTTCATTTAAAGGGGTGGGCTGGGGGGCTACGGTGGGAGGAGGAGTGACTGTGGTGGAGGGGTTTGGGGGCGGTCCGCGGTACCACATCACCATACACTGATCAGGCATAACATTATGACCACCTCCTTGTTTCTACGCTCATTGTCCATTTTATCAGCTCCACTTACTATATAGGTGCACTTTGTAGTTCTACAGTTACAGACTGTAGTCCATCTGTTTCTCTGATACTTTGTTAGCCCCCTTTTACCCTGTTCTTCAGTGGTCAGGACCCCCATGGACCCTCACAGAGCAGGTACTATTTGGGTGGTGGATCATTCTCAGCACTGCAGTAACACTGACGTGGTGGTGGTGTGTTAGTGTGTGTTGCGCTGGTCTGAGTGGATCAGACACAGCAGTGCTGCTGGAGTTTTTAAACCCCTCAGTGTTACTGCTGGACTGAGAATAGTCCACCAACCAAAAATATCCAGCCAACAGCGTCCTGTGGGCAGCGTCCTGTGACCACTGATGAAGGACTAGAGGATGATTAGCTCGTACTGTACAGCGAGAGATGAGCTATCGTCTCTGACTTTACATCTACATGGTGGACCAACAACGCAGGTGCGTCTAATAGAGTGGACAGTGAGTGGACAGTGTTTAAAAACTCCAGCAGCACTGCTGTGTCTGATCCACTCGTACCAGCGCAACACACACTAACACACCACCACCACGTCAGTGTTACTGCAGTGCTGAGAATGATCCACCACCCAAATAGTACCTGCTCTGTGAGGGTCCATGGGTGTCCTGACCACTGAAGAACAGGGTAAAAGGGGGCTAACAATGTTATGCCTGATCAGTGTACATCTGTATGATTATTAACAAACAGTGAGTTGTGACGTTAGTAGTGAAAATAAAAAGAAAAATGAATGTCCCTGTAAAAGGGTGGTGTAGCCAAGGAATACTGGCCTGGGAATTAAAAAAAAAAAAGAGTTGGTTGCATTTTCTGCTTCTCATTGTCCAAAAAATACCAAACACATTCAGTGATGCTGAGATCTGGACACTGGGGTGGTCAGTCCATTGTTCTGAGAACACCAGCATCTGCTTCATTTGCAAATTTTCTTCTTTTTTGTCAATTTCCTTTTCTCAGTAACAGCTTCTTGACAGCTCCATGTCTTTTCAGACCCATAGCGTTGAGTTGTCTTCTCACAGTGGAAGGTTGGACAGAAACACCTGTTCCACCTGACTTTCCCTTTGTTATGCAAGTAGATTATTTCAAGTCTGATCTTCCCAGAAATATCTATAGCAAAAATAAATAACTTGTACTTAATGGTCATTTTGTCAGGAAAATAAATAAAATATGTGATCTCTGATTTGTGCACAGTATTGTGTGTATGACCCCGTGTCCCGACGCTGTATAAAAACATGAGCGCATGTGTTAACGCTTCAGCCGAGAGGCCCTGCTGGGTGCTGTGATTGCCACAGGCCTGCTTTGGGAGAAAGATAAAAAGACACTGATGTATTATTTGTTCACTATGTCCTCCTCTCGCCTGGCTGAGAGAATCACTGTAGCGGTCAGTGTCTGAATGACCCTGGCAGCGCGAGGTAATATTGATTTCCCTTTCCTCTGTGGGCTGCCTGCCGATCGCGAATCTTAACCTGAGGGCGAAGCTTACCGTTTACTGCCATGCCCATCCCACCCCGCCCCACCCCTCTCCACTGGTGTCTCATACTTGCTCTGTCATTCTGTTCTTATTTACCTGCCTTATCTCTGCCTCTATATGTACTCACTCCGTTTTTCTCATCCGCTATCTTGGTTTTCTATTTAATGCTGCAGGTATTTCTCAGACGTTGCTGTCCTCCACTTCTATCTCATCCATGAAATATGACAAATATTTCTCTGTGATGCTCTCTCCTTCCCCCTCTCTCTCTGTCTCTGTCTCTCTCTCCTTGTCTGTAGGACAAGGACTTCGGGAAGCAGACCCTCCATAAAGGTCATGCTAACCCGTTAGCGGAGGTTACTACCAGTCTGAAGACGTACCAGCACTTCACCCTGGAGAAGGCCTACCTGGGGGAAGATTTCTTCTGGGCGTTCACGCCTGTAGCTGGAGACTTCATACGTATCCGCTTCTTTACCCCTGTCCGCATAGAGAGGTACACACAAGCCCTACATACACACACACTTAAAGGAATAATTTACTAAGACCTTCAGAAGGAAATTCCACCTATTTTCAGTCCATCTCTGTATAACTCAGAGGTTGAGATGTAAACGAAGTCATCCTGAGTGGTTTGGTGTGAAATGCTTTGTTCTAGAGAACCTTACCAACTCATATTTCTTTACAGTGGTGGTGATAGGAACCAGGGGTCGCCATGACTACAACACACATATAGACATTTTATTTACTATCCAAAACCACCAGTGAACCCACAGGCATCTTCTGAGTTTGGTCACACTTTATTTGAATGGTCTCCTTTAGACGATCTACAGATACTTAAACAATTAACAAACTTTCCGGTGATACTCAGTGGATTATCAACAGCATTATGGTTAGGGTTGGGTTTAGGAGTAGGTGTAGGTCAGGGGTCGGCAACACGCTGTTGTGGCTCCACAGCAGAATCAGGTTTGTAGGTAAAAATAAAATAATCCTCCTTTGCAGTAAAATAAAGCTCTGCTGATAAAACACAGTTTAACAATAAATGGTCTTAAACTCTGGAGTTAATGTAGAACTGCTAATTCACCCTGTAATCCTGAAGGTCAGCGCAGACTGCTGGTCAAGATAATTTGGAGACAAATAGACTTATTTGTGTTTATAATCACTCCAGCTGGTTTCCTGATACGTTTAATCTGCAACAAGAAACTGTCAAACACCAGAACGTCGCAAAGCTGAAGTCAGTTTCTCATTCGCCAGCTTCTTGTTCGAATTTTCCCGTTCCACCTTAAATGTTGCAGCAGTTACATTCTGGCATCTCAGGCACCATTTAAGGTGGAACGGGAAAATTCGAACAAGAAGCTGGCGAATGAGAGGCGACTTCAGTCTCATAAAAAGTTGAACGTTGAGAGACATTTTACAAGAAACTGTTCTACTTTTGAGGAAAAGTTTCCTGCTGGAGAAGCGAGAAAAGCAGCTATAACTGAGCTAAAGCTTAAAGCAGAGCAAAGTAAGTCTGCATTTTCGTTTATATTATATTTTTTAGTCTATACTAGAACAATAACACATACTGAGACATATTTACAGCCATATTTGTAGGTTTTGCCTTGAAGCTAAGGTCAGATTTAATAGAATCTTCCACACTCAATTTCTAGTTCACTTGCATTTAATACATATTTAGTTCAATGTTACTTTTTATTTTTTGAGCATCTACGGTGGACCATCCAAAGGAAGTGTTATCCTGAGTTTTTGTATGTAATGTTGATGATGATGAAATAGTTGTAGATCTGTAAAAGAAGTTTCTTTAGGGATTGTTTTGCTTTATGTTTTAGGCCAAAATCTGAACTCAAAACTGTCGTAAAACAGTGTCTCGGACATCAAGAGGCGTGTTCGTAACTACTTTATGTAATAAACTTTATATAAGAGAGCTTTTAGAGGCGTTAAATTCTTCAGATGTCTGGTTCCTACTACCACCACTGTTTCTCTAGAATGGAACAGTTCAAATCAAACCACTCTGAATGACATTGTTCACATCTTAAGTGTTTAATTATGGAGAAATTCTGGAAAATCTGTGTAATTCGCTCTGAAACCCACCATCGTACCAGGTCACCTAAGGCAGCCAGAGCAACACTGTGCATATTTATAAGGAGAATCCAGAAACACAAATAAAGCAGCAAAAGGAAAACTTTAGTGGAAGATAAAATGTGCTTAATTTTGAGTAATTTGAGCTCATGTCAGCAACTTGGACTTGAGTTGTGTGTTGACAGGCTCACAACTCAACTAGTGCGACTTGTGCAGTTTCAGCCTGAGAAAAGAAACACAGAACTGATTAAATTAGAACCAGCAGCCTTTGGTGTCCAACCACACGTGTGATTATGTCTGTCAGTTTTTCTGAGGTCATGCTCACGGTCATTTCTGTGATCATCTGCAGCCATTACTGTAATACCGTTCTCCTGCAGCTCACAGTGGAATCAGGTTTGATGTGGCTTCAGATAAAATTATTGTACTGTTTTTTTTTTTGTTGGTCTGGCTCTGGTTTTAATTTAAAGTGGCCGTATCGTGGAAATGTGTTTTTTTGCAGTAAAATAGTTTGAAGCAGTATGTAAACACTGTCAAAGTTTCAAAATGTACCATTCACTCTTCAGTCTAAACAGTCCATTGATGAAAACTAAGGTGAATTCATTTTTCAATTTTGAAAATTAAAACTCAAATTAAAATCACTTTTTAGCACAGAGGCACAATACAGGGCAATCAGAACAGAGCTCATTTACATACATCAGTCTTAAAGGCTCATCAGTCTTATTTAATTGTAAGAGATAAAGAGAAGGTGGGAAATGGTCATGTAAAAATTAATAATGGGCCCTTTAATGCAGTAATAGAGAGATGATATTGGTCCTCAGAGACATTAAGGACTGCTGGTCAGTCAGGCCGGCAGCCTGAATTGATTTGATGTTTGAATAATGACTTACAAATTTGAATATCCCATCTGACTGAAATGCCCGTCATTAGTGACTGAAGTAATGTAGCTAACAAATAATGGCAGGTTATACCCAACAAATTAGCATTATGTAAACTGTATGCATAAATCATCACACTTATGACTCAGACTACATAAAGTTTAGTGCCTGACATGCTTGCTTATGTCGTTTCTGACACTTCGGCACAATCCTATCTCACCCCTCGGCCCCACCACTTAGCCCTTAGCCCTCGGTTTTGCGCGTTCACGTCTAGGGGTAGGGTGTTCTGATTCTTGTTGAGATAGAGGAGTAGGGTGAAGTGTTAGGGCTACATGGCCCTCCAAACGGAGGCTTTTCAGAGACTCCAAACAGAGTGATATGAGAAAAAAGAAAAACTGGCAAGATGGCTGAACAAGAGACCAGAGAAACACACAAATGTGAGAATTTTTTCTGTTAAAAAATATGATAATCACTGTATTATCTTAGTTTAATGTCGTTTCAATGTATTGTGGTCGTTTTCATCATAACAAGCATAAAAAATCGCTAATGTTTCGGTAGCTACCTTCAACAGTCCAGCAGTTTTGACGCCTGAAGCACCAGAATGTAACTGCTGCTCCATTTAAGGTGGAACGGGGAAATTAGAACTAGAAGCTAATGAACAAGTTTCATATCACTGAAGAATTAGGGGTGGGCGATAATAAATAATTGCCCCCCTCTTTGAAGGCATACATACATACATACATACATACATCATCTAAACCGCTTTTCCTTCTGGGTCGCGGTGGGGTGCTGGAGCCTATCCCAGCTGTCATTGGGCGGAAGGCAGGATACACCCTGGACAGGTCGCCAGTCCATCGCAGGGCAGACAGACAGACCTACACATTCACACACACAGTCACTCACACCTAGGGGCAATTTTAGCATGTCCAATTGGCCTGACTGCATGTTTTTGGACTGTGGGAGAAAACCGGAATACCCGGAGGAAACCCACGCAGACACGGGGAGAACAGGCAAACTCCACACAGAAATTACCCTGGTCACCCGGCCGGGAATCGAACCAGACCATTCTTGCTGTGAGGCGACAGCGCTACCCACTGCGCCACTGTGCCGCCCTCTTTGAAGGCATATGATCCCTAAATGTAACTAAAGCCCAGCAGTGAGGAGCTGAACTTTACCCTCCTCTGCTGTCACTGCAGACTGGCAGGGTCACCTACAGAGCAGCGCTGGTAGCTGTTAATGAAGTGATGCTCTTTTTATTTAAGGGTCCCATTTCAGAGAAGAAGATTTCAACCACTACCCTTTATAACTCAGTTTAAAGGGGTAAGGTAACACCCGAAAACAGGGGGTAGGGGTAAAAATAAGAAATGAGATTGGGCCTAAATGACATACTGTAATCTATAAAATTGACAAAAGTATGTTGCAGCAGCCATTTCTCATCCGCAAATTGTTCATATCATATCTCAGTGTTTTTCTAAGACCTGAAAACTACACTAAGTCTTTGCATTCTGGTGCCACAGACCAACAGAAATGGTCCAAATATTAAAATATTTTTGCATTAACTTCCTTTACAAGTTAATCATGTTTTTTCTCCTCTTGTAAAGTTACCATTTTGGGGGGTTCAAGCTTTTGACTGTTTTTATATTGCTTTAAAATGCCATGCTAAGCAGTGTAGAAATGTAGAATCTTTCTATCTGTCATTGTCTCACTCATACATACACACTGAAGGAATAAACACCCTCTCTCTCACTGTCTATTGTACTGTGACTCACTCAGGCAGCCTGCTACATGCTTGACCCATTGCTCAGCCTCATTTGAACAGTGCCTGCAGCATTAAGGCATTCTCTGTGCTCCATTTAGAGCCGTGCGATGCATACCTTTCAAATCCTAATGGAAAGTTTAGATACATTTCAAGCTTAATGGAGGAGTGATTCAAGCCAGTGAGAATAGAAACATCCGTCGATCACTCTAGCAGTGATTCTAGGAGGTCAATGGAGAGTCTAGCTCTCAGTGTGATTATGGAAAAGTGATATTACAGCTGTGGAGAGAAGGTCCAGCTGTTCCTTTGGAGGGAAGATGGGTATCTGAGACAGGAGACTGTGTGAGAGATGTATCTAAGAGCTAAATGCAGTGTTGCTCTAATGGCTTATTCATCATTGTACTCATCAGTCTGTGCCAGGAGTATGTAAGAGTAATGAATATCCCCAAGGACAGGAAAGACTAGCTGGGTTTGCGAGCCCTACTCGAGCTGGATCAGTTTCACCTGGGGGTGCACTATTATTGGCAAGATCTTTGATTTTTAAAGGGTCCATTTCTGTGGTTTTATGTACCCAATATAGTCATAATTCATTTTTCAACCTCTTTTTATCTGTTGAGCTTAGGCTACGTTCACATTACAAGCCTCATTACTCAAATCTGTCATTAATGTGACGAACCGGCGTCCTGAAATTACCCTCACACGCACATCCTACTCAGGAACGTCACGTGAATGAATCACGATCATCATCAAGACAAACTAACGAGCAGAACGAGCTTCGCTGAGAAGATAATTAACTCCGATCAGCTCTCAGCTTCATTATTAGAGCGAGACGAAGGAGAAAAAGGTGAGATGAGCTGCTTTTCCACCGTTTACAGGCTTTAACTTCTGTTCGGCGCTGCTGCCATGGTAACACTGGATGATGGCGCAGTGGAAAAAAAGCACATGAATTCCGATCTGAGCGTCACATTAAGGTCGCATGGCCATGAATCGGATACGTATCCGATCTAGGACCACATATGAAAGTGGCTCAGGTCAGATTTGAAAAGATCAGATTTGTGTCCACACAGCTCTGAAAACATCAGATCTGAGTCACATTAGGGCACAAAATCAGATTTATGCCACTTCCACCTGGTGATGTGAACGTAGCCAAAGAAGCTGTTTATGTTTCTGTACATTTAAGACTGCTGTATGTAAACTATCTCTGTTCTGTTTGGCTTATTTGTATTGTGCTTAATTCAAAAAGCAGTCCAGGCTGAAACGCTCCTTATAGCTTCATTGTGAATGGATGGGCTAAACTCACAGTAAAAATGAGAATTCGGCTCATTTAAAATGACATATTAACTGATTTCATGGCTTTTCTTGAGTTGACTCAACTTGAGGACCCCAGTGTTCACCCAATTCAAACTTAATTGAGTCAAAAAGTCTCCCAGCTACTGTTTGCTAAGCCAACCCCTCCGGTTAATTCAGTACAATTCAGCAAAGTCCATAGTTTTTGCAAGCAATAATTGTGAAGTGAATTACTTTCTGTAATTGGCTGAACCAGACGCTCCCTCAGTGATAGTAGTCCTGTTCAAATCCACCTCACACTAATGGGATAACAAAACCTGCTAATAGACACAGCCGTGCGGCGAGTCTCGCGCCTGTCGTGTAACTTTGATATGAACATCTGGGCTGTGACCTTTCAGTTTAGGGAAATTACACTGGTACTGTTTCCCGTACAAATCAGCCAGTCAGATTCCTACAGACGACACTGTAGAACCTTTCCTGGTAAACAAGTCTGGCTTGTATAGTGTTTACGCCCCACCACTGTTTTATTCTAACCCTGTTGGTTCTGCTCTTTGTTTTGTGTGTGTGTGTGTGTGTGTGTGGTACAGGTATTTCTTCCGCAGTGGGAACATTGAGCACCCTGGAGACAAACTCTTCAACACTACAGTGGAGGTGCTGCCGTTTGATGTGAGTGTGTGTGTCTCCATCCGCTCTCACGCACAGCAAACTCCACAGCACACACACACTGCAGTACAAATGGCCTCGGGGCAACCTCGGCCTGCTTCAGGGAGCTTCTCCTAACTCGAGACTTTTCAGCGCTCGTTCTAATCTGTAAAACCCCCTGGCACGACAGACAAGCCTTGTTTGTCAGTGTGGGCAGGTTAACCTTGTGAGACCTGAGCCTAAAAGTGGGCACCTGGGAATATCTGTGTTTACTCGGAATATCTTTTAAGGGTAAAACTTTACTTGAACACTTTTACATAACACTAACATGCCTTAAACATCTTATGGCAGATGACATGCTGTCATGTGTTGTCATGACAAACTAGGTTCTGAATAGGTTCGGTAATATAATAATAGTACAGTAATAATAAACAGTGTCATGTTACCATCACTGATAGATGCCATGCTTGATGCTATGACAACCAATGTAGAATACACAGCAAAAATGAATATGTGACAAAACATCAAACGTCATAGCATATACTGGTAACTGTAATATGACTTTGTAATATGGCATAATATAACGTTATTTTACTTGCCATAATCAGCTATGACATGTTTATGGCATGGGCCTCATTCACCAATATCTTCCTTCTATCTTAGATAGGGTTTTTTCTTGAATTCTTCTTGAGAAAGGTCCTAAGAAAAAGCAATGTAAGAATCTTCATGTGGGTTTTGAGAAGAAATTTCCTCTCAAGAAGGGCTGATGAAAGCAAAAAATCCCAGAAATCTCACAACTTGGTGCCCACAACTTGGGCAAGTACATAACATAACATCTATATATCTATGTATCTATATATCTATATCTATATATATTTATGTATATGTGTGTATATATACACATATATATCTGCTGTCGGAAGAGAACCTTGTATCTCCATTTTAATTTTTACCTGATTTTTCTCCCCAATTTAGTCGTCTCCAATTCCACCCGCTAGTTAGGACTCCCCCAATCACACGATGCTATCAACGCTAGGAGGGTGAAGGCTAACACAGGCTTCCTCCGAGACCTGTGAAGCCAACCACCGCTCTTTTCGAACTGCCGCTCACACAACGTCACTGGACAGCTGAACGCGCTCGGAGGAAAGCGCCAACCGTCAGATCTGTTACGTCAGCTAACAGACGCCTGCGCTGACTAGCACCGCGCTGAGTGATGGGGGGAGAAGGAAGGGCCATCCTACCCACCCAGAGAGAGCGAGGCCAATTGTGCTCTCTCGGACTCCCGGCTACGGACGGCTGTAGCATCACCAGGGATCGAACTTGCAATCTCCTGATGATAGGGCCAACGCTTAGACGGTTGCGCCACTCGGGAGCCCTATCATTTTTTAGTGTTTTGATATAATGTGAAAATGCCTGTGCCCTTTACATTGTATGTAAGTTTCATGATGAATGGAACAAAAAAAATGGTCCAAAATGGCTTAGAAAAAACGTCGGGTTCCATTGACTTACATTAAAAGTAAAGTAGGTTTTTTCCTTCTCCTGTAAATTTACCATTTTGGAGATACGAGGTTTTCTTCCAACAGCAGCGATATATATATATATATCCCTATGTTAGAGCCTTTTATGGCCGGGAGTCCAAGACAGCATAATTGGCCTCGCCCTCTGGAAGGCTGGGATGGCCCCCCCTTTCCTCCAACCACCCCCCTCCAATCACTCAGCAGAATAGTAGCTAACACAGCCATCTGTTAACTGATGTTACAGACTGGGCATTTAGCGCTGTTCTCCCAGCGTGTTGAGCCGTCTAAGGCGTTAACAGTAGTTTGAAAAGATGTGATGATGCTCTACGTGTCTCAGAGGAAACATGTGCTGGCCTTCAGTCTCCCAGCTCGGTAGCACAGCGCATGTGAAAGTGTCTCTGAAAATGCAGTCTGATTTGTGCCACTTTTACCCTGTAATGTGAGCCTGTGTCCTGTGATTCAGCGTAAATTTAGCTTAAAGTGATGTTTGTTATTGAAAACTAATATTCAGTATTGGGTATGAAATGAATGTAAAAGCATAAAAAGATTTTTTCATATTTTTTCTGATACAAAACACAGACAACTGGGAAACAACACGTGTAAAAAAGCTGCCCAGTGATGGTTTAGCTATATTTACTGTGGTGTAGTGAGTGGGCAGACTAGAGGACTCTGCTGATGTAGTGTAGATTAGCCATCAGAGAGCTGTTTCTGTAGTTTATGAATATGAATATGAAGCATGTTGATGGGTCAAACGGTTGAAAAACACCTTTGCCATGTTTCAACATGCAAATAAATGCAAAGAAGTCAGAAGAGGTCGATACAGAATGTTCATGTTATTCTTTACAGAACTATTTGTGTAAAGATGTGAGTAAATGTTAATAATTATGTACAGTAAATGTATAAATGCACATATATATAAACAAAAGAAGAGTAACTGTGGACGTCTAAGTGGAAATGAAGCAAACATAATCAGTCGCTACATCTCCTGCCAGGTTTCACAGATTGTGGTGGTGGGTGAGGGGGAGCTAATATTAGCGCTCAGCGTGATGTTAGCTCTGTGTTAGCATCCTACCTGAGCAGTGAGTCATAAGGCAGAGCAGCGTGTTCCTCAGGGGAAGAACCACAGGCTGCGGTCACTGCAGAGATATCAGCACTGACCAGCTTGTCCACTACATCCACTGCCCACTCTGTCCCTCCATCCCCGCCCTCCTCAACACTGATACAGAACTCAGATGGAGAGACGTGAGAGAGGAGAGAGGAAAGGGGGGCTTGGAGATAAAGACACTTTTTGTGTTTTATGAAGTGGTGAAATTGTCCTGGCTCAGTGGTCGTGGGTGGTCTGAGTGTGTGTGTGTGTGTGTGTGTGTGTGTGTGTGTGTGTGTGTGTGTCTGCTTTTGGAAGATATTTTATCGCAGAGGGGAAGAGGGGTAGCGGTCGTCGTGGTGATTTAAGATTATAGTCGGAAACGAACGCTCCCCGCAAGATTAATAGCAGGATTTTCAGTGAACAAGCACTGCATTTAAACCTAAAGTCTCTCTCTCACTCTTCTCTCTCTCTCTCTCACCCCCTTTTCTTTTACGTTCTCTCCTCTCTCTACTCATCTCTTTTCTCCCCCCTTCTCTTTTCTTTCTCTCTCTTTCTCTCTTTCCACTATCTCTCTCTCTCTCTCCTTTTTTCCCTCTTTCTCTCTCTCTCTCCCTCCCTCTTTTTTCTTTTACATTCTCTCTTCTCTCTACTCATCTCTTTTCTCTCTCTCTCTCTCTCTCTCTTTCCACTGTCTCTCTCTCCTTTTCCCCTCTTTTCCTCTCTCTTTCTCCCCTTCTTTTTTCCCCTCTCTCTCTTACACTTTCTTTTTCTGTCTCTCCTCTCGCCCTCCTTCTCTTTTCTTTCCCCTCCTCTCTCCCTCACTCTCACTTCATCTCTTTTCTCTCTCTCTCTCTTTATCTATCCCCATCTCCCTTTCTCTCTCTCTCTCTCCTTCTCTTTCACCTTTTCTCTCTCACCTTTCTCTCTCACTTTATCTATCCCATCTCCTTTTCTCTCTCTCTCTTTCTCTTTCCCCCCCTCTCTCTTAAATTCTTTATTTTTCTCTCTTTCCTCTCGCGCTTCTTCTCTTTTCTCCCCCCCTTCTCTCTCCCCCCCTCTCTCTTAATCTCTATTTCTCTCTCCTTCTCTTTTCTTCCCCCTCTCTTCTCTCTCACTCTGTCCTCATATCTTTTCTCTTTTTCATACTCTTTTCAATTTCCCTCCTTCTCTTTCCTTCCCCCTCTCTCTCCCTCCACTCTCTCCTAATCTTTCTCTCTCCTACTTTTTTCTTCCCCCTCTTGTCTCCCTCCGCTCTGTCCTCATCTCTTTTCTCTCTCTCTCTCTCTCGTACTCCCCGCCCTTTCCCTCCTTCTCTTTTCTTTCTTCTTTCTCTGCTCTTCTCTCTACTTCTTCTTTCTCTCTTTTGCTCCTTTCTGTCTGTCACTCCCCCCTCTTTTCCCCACAGCCTATCTTGTTCTTTTTTCCTCTTTTTATCTGTCGTTCTTCATCTCTGTCTCCTTCCCTTTTTCCCTTCATCCCTCCCTCTGCTCCCCGGAGAGACATTTAGATTTAGCGGAATTTTGCCGGAAAGCCTAAATTAGCAGGGCGAGTCCAGTGGCTGCGTGTGAGTGTTCAGTGTGTGTGTGTGTGTGTGTGTGTGTGTGTGTGTGTGTGTGAGTGAGAGACGTGCTATCAGTCTGTTTGTCAGAAGTTTGTGTTTCTTGTGTCTGTATTTGTCCAGTAACAGACAGTGCTGAGTGAATGGAGACCCCCTGTAACCCTCTCTAGCAGTCAGCGCAGCAGTGAGTCGTGGTCCTAAAGGACAAATGACACACACATAATCAGCAGCTTAAAGCAGACATGGAAGTGCCTGCAAACACAAAGCTTTGGTGCTGTCTGTGGGAGGCGTTTGGCCTTTGGCTGCTGGTTTTGATGCTGCTTGCTAGAGCTGAGTGTAGATTACTGTCCCAAAGGTCAGACTGTGCTGGCTGCTTATTTCTTGAGTGGCAGTAATGCAATCAGAGAAGCCTGTCAGCAGAGGCGATTCTAGGATCAGAGCTTTAGGGGTGCTGAGCACCCATTGAGACCAGACACCCCCCCCATTCTATAACATTAATTAGCTGATACACATACAGACAGTACTAGTCTCACACCTTGGCTTTAATATCAACATATAGGCCTACCAGTGGCACAGCAGCTCGCTTCTCTCAGTCGAATTCAAACAGTGGACGGTCGTTGATTGACAACCTGCAACGTTAGCTTGCTAGATAAAAAAAAAAACATCAGATAGCTAAAAAGAACAACATAAACAGTGATCTGTGATTCAGTGCAGCAGAAATGAGGACTGCTGCTAATGACTGTAATGTGTTGGTGCTGAGTGATAAGAAATCCTTGTCTGCACTACTTACTTGAGCCACAACACCACACAGTCACACTGTAACTGGCCCTAGTGCATGTGTGTGTATGTGTGTGTGCGCGCGTGTGTGCGCGTTTGCACGCGCTCAGCGCAGTTACTGCACGGCTTCGGGGAGAGCAGGGCGGAGAGAGAAAGTGGATGATAACATTTGCTTATCAGAGAGGCTTGAGCACCCCTAAAAAGGGGCTAGACACGCCTGTCAGCATTAGGGCCTGGCTTTTAATCTTTAATCTGGGGGCTCCCAAGTATATATTGTTATATATTATGTTATATATTATTTTTTCCTTTATGTGCTTTGATCTTTTGACAGCTGTTTGCCACACTGTAATTTAACCAGTAGAAATTAGCCACAGTGTAATGTAACCAGCGTCATCATTATAAATATCAGGTTTTATTTGGCGTGTTGAGTGATGAGGGGCCGGTTCAGGTCAGTTTCAGACATGATTTTGTTTTACTGGGATTTAGAACTTGATGATGTGGGTTGGTGGGTTTTTTTACAGAACTTTGTCAGTTGTGGACAGTTTTGGTTTGGAAAATGTGAAACTGTATGTCCAAGTGTCTCTTATTTACAGACAGTGAACAACATCTGCAGTGATCAAAACTAGGCATCTGTGTGTGGGGTCAAAGGGGCGGAGAGGGGACGGGGCTTATGCTCTGCATGCACACTCAAATGACTTGAATGAATGATTTTTTGGGGGGGGAATTTCTAGGAGTTTTGAGTTTGGGGGCTTTTCTTAGAAGGCTGGTGTACCAATTCAGTCTGAGGCAAGCTAATCTGTGTAGCATGCAATTGTTCAAAAGTTTGAATCCAGCCAAATATTTGTTGATTTTTGAAGTAAAAAGAAGTAAACACAACTTTTGTTAACCGTTTTTTAAGACTGTCACCACATCGTCACTTTATATTTGATCACTAAAAAAACCCAGAAAAAATAACAATAATTGTGTCGGGCAAAAGTTTGGATACCTTACTAAGTCAGCACTTAGTAACGCTAATATTTTGCAGGTACCACAGCTTGCAAATGCTTTTTATAGTCATAGAGGAGTCTTCTTCTTTCTGTTCTTGTGTTAAATATTCCCCCACTCTTCCTTACAGAACACTCTATTTCTATTTCTGATATTCTTGGTCGTCTTGCATGCACAGCATGTTTAATATCTACTCACAGATTTTCAATGATGTTCATGTCAAGGGACCATGAGGCCATCCTAAAAGCTTCACCTTGCGTTTCTTGAAGTAGTTTATGGTGGATTTTGAGGTTTATTTTGTGTCATTGACCTGTTGTTGCAGATCCATTGCTGTCATATGGGGGTTTTGTTTTGCCTTTCTGGCCTACATATGAGCAGCTCAGCCTGAGAGTTGTCTTCCAGATCTTGCCTTGACTTCCACAGTTCCCCTTAACTGCCATTTCTTAATGACATTTCAAACAGGGGAAATTGTGAGTGGAAACCACTTTGATAACTTTTTATAGCCTTTCACTACTTCGCAGGCATCAGTTATCTTTACTTTCAGACCCTCAAGCCTGTTTTGAAGTGTTAGCGTGAGGCTCAAAGAGACAGATAATATATTGCGCTGTTATCAGATGACGATTTCTAATGACAGTTTTTTAATTTGCATAACAAGTCCTAACAAGTCATGTTAGGCCTAACAAGTTAATTAAACAGATATGGAGTATCTGTGCACTAACATTTGCAAAAAATGTTAATTTTTAAAATGGTTCACTGCAGAGGTTATGTTTCCTTTTCAATTCACAAAGTGAATCGAAAATTGAAGCATTGAAAATTGCATCAAACCTGAAAATGTGTGTCATTAAACCTCTAGTATTTGCACTACTCTGTTGTCTTGGTGGTGCACAAACTATCATAAATAATGCCACATTCTATATTTAGATTTCTCCTCTGCTATCAGGGAGGAGGTTTTTGCAGTGTTGAGACTAAATCCTGAGGGTGGGTTCAGGGACGGTTTATCCCTCAGGTTATCAGGCTGCTAGATGCTAAGACGCTGTCATTTTTTATGCTTGTTTCATGCATGAATTGTGGGTTGTTATGTTGGCGCTGAGAAAGAAACCTGTGGATAAGGCTTTAGAAATGCTTACAAGTGAACATGTAATAATAAATAACTTACTAACTTACACTGATCAGTCATAACATTCTGACCACCTCCTTGTTTCTACGCTCATTGTCCATTTTATCAGCTCCACTTACTATATAGGTGCACTTTGTAGTTCTACAGTTACAGACTGTAGTCCATCTGTTTCTCTGATACTTTGTTAGCCCCCTTTTACCCTGTTCTTCAGTGGTCAGGACCCCCATGGACCCTCACAGAGCAGGTACTATTTGGGTGGTGGATCATTCTCAGCACTGCAGTAACACTGACGTGGTGGTGGTGTGTTAGTGTGTGTTGTGTTGGTACAAGTGCATCAGACAGCTCATCTGCTGCTGCACAGTTTGTGCTGGTCATCCTCTAGCCCTTCATCAGTGGTCACAGGACGCTGCCCACAGGAAGCTGTTGGCTGGATATTTTTGGTTAGTGGACTATTCTCAGTCCAGCAGTGACACTGAGGTGTTTAAAAATCTCCAGCAGCACTGCTGTGTCTGATCCACTCAGACCAGCGCAACACACACTAACACACCACCACCACATCAGTGTTACTGCAGTGCTGAGAATGATCCACCACCCAAATAGTACCTGCTCTGTGAGGGTCCATGGGGGTCCTGACCACCGAAGAAAAGGGTAAAAGGGGGCTAACAAAGTATCAGAGAAACAGATGGACTACAGTCTGTAACTGTAGAACTACAAAGTGCACCTATATAGTAAGTGGAGCTGATAAAATGGACAATGAGCGTAGAAACAAGGAGGTGGTCATAATGTTACGCCTGATCGGTGTATTTACTTACTCTTTACATTCACTGCATTTAAGAGGGGAATAAAAGGTGCATTGAATGAATTTGTGACTTGCTGAACACTAAACTTACATAGAGACTTGATTACTTTTGGACTGGTCAAGCACTTAAAGTAGTCTCTAGATGTTCGCCATGGATGTAAAATTGCAGATGATCGTTTGAATATTTAGGATTATAGTAATTTAACCTGCGTTTTTCTCTTTCTCAGAATATTCAGTCAGAAAAAGAGGCCTTGAAGGAGGAAAGGGAGAGAACGCCCAAGTACCAGCGAACGGAGGACGGCTTCATTAGGATAGGTGAGAAACCGCCGCTGCAGAAATAGCTAAAGATATAGATCTAAATGTCAGTGTATTTATACCTGCAGGGTGTTTGTGATCTGTCATTTAAGCCCTCAGCCATCTGTAACTCCTCAGGTACTGCAATCCTGAGAGGTCTAGAGTTATTAGTGCTGCTTTGATACACATTTGCTTTATACTATATTATTTAAATATAATTGCGTAATACATTACATACAATGGTGTGAAAAAGTATTTGCCCCTTTCTGATTTCTTTTATTTTTTGCATATGCCACACTTAACTGTTTTAAATCTTCAGACAAAATTTAATATACAACAGTAATAACCTGAGTAAACCTGTGTGAAAAAGTATATAAATGCCCCATTAGTTAGTTATTCATTCAATCAGTTAACCAAATTTAGTTGATAATTGGGATCAGTTAAAGTACACCCACCCAGACCTGATTGCTGACCGGCTCTGTTGATTCTAGACATCACTTAGACACTTAGAAACTTGCCAGCAATGTGGAACAGGCTAAAAGGTCTCAACAAGCAACAATATATCAGTCTGGAAAGGGTTACAAAACCATTTCTAAGGCTCTGGCGCTCCAGCGAGACACAGTGAGAGCCATTATCTTACTGGGCATATGACAGTATTTATCATTGTCAGGATAAATTACATCACAATATGTCACAATTTGCTTTTCTGAACATATTGTGGACATCATCAGTACTTCCACAGTAAAACCACTTGCCAGCTGCATGTTTGATTACAAAGAGAGCATAATTAGTCCTGTTTATGTGGATGCAGTGCAGCACAGTGTGTGAAATGTTGGCTACAAATAACAGAATTCAAAGTTTTGGTAGTATTTTTAAAATGTGGGCTGAGTTTGTCTGTTGTAACTGATCAGACGTCAGAAAAAATAAACATTGTGATGTATTGTGTATTGAAAAATATATCTTGAAATTTTATGATATGTGTCAGGCTCGGACAAAATTCAGACACTCGCAGACCCCACTTAAGTAAAAAGGGTTTATTAACAAAGGGAGGATCTGAAATCAAAGTCAGCCAGTCCAAAGCCAAAAGCCAAAACACAAAAGCAGTAACAGTGAGGGGTGTCCAAAAAGCAAAGTCCAAAAACAGAAACAGGGTCGAACCAGCAGGCACAACAGTACTGAAAGGGCAAGGCAGAAGGCAAGGTCAAAGAACAAACCAAGCGAGGGTCATCCACGAAATGGCAAACAGACAAATACAAAGCTCGGTTAGGCTGTGTGAACAAAGGTAATACTTCGCAACATGACTAAGCTTAAGCCCTGGCTTAAATACTAAGGCGTGTGTAATCAGTAGTCAGGTGAGGCAGAACGTTGGAGAGTCATGTGAAGGAGATTGGTGGTCATGTGATCCAGAGTGGGGTTCTGGGTAATGTAGTTCAGAGGCTGGGAGGCAGAGACAGTGGGAACAGAGGGAAGCGTGTCAATATGACACGTACAACATTATCTCCAAATGGAGAAAACTTGGAGCAGTGGGGAATCTTTCCGGAAGTGGCGAGCCTACCAAAGTTCCTCCAAGAGCACACCTGTGATCTAGTCACAGAAGAACCTAGATGAACATCTAAGGAGCTGCAGGCCTCGCTCACCTCAGATAAGGTCATTGCTGATGATTGTACCATTACAGAGAGACCGGCCAAATATGGTATCCATGAGAGAGTTGGAAGGTGGAAAAACTCCTTACAAGGAGGAACATAAAGGCTCATCTCATTGATCACCCCCAAGCCTTTACATCAAATACAAATATAATAAAGTATTTCCTCTTCTACACAAATGAGGAATCGATTGATAGTTTGTAATCCACACTGCTGACATCATTCCTCCACTTATTTCAGTGAGATACCAGCTCATTAATAGAACTTACATACAGCGTGATTCAAAAAGATTCATCCGATTTCAAAATGATTTATTTCACTTGTAAATCTTTACAGATCAATGCAGTGAACTGTAAATGGTTTAAATGAGCATAAAGTTTATTATGTAATTGTACAATGTCTCAGTATGAACCTCCTCCAGCTGTACAGACAACATCAACGCCATAGTCAAACTCATTCCATACTCGATTGCGCATGTCGGGTGTCGCTGCACTCGCGGCTCTTTCAGTGCGATTTCGAGATCATCCAGTGTTGTGGAACCAACGCCGAACGCTCTGAGCTGTTGGACCTTCACTGCCCACGAAAATCACACTGCACAGTTCTGACGGATTCACTCTTATTGAAGTGGAGAACGCAGAACGCTTTCTGCTCAGGGGTCTCATCTCCTCACAGACTGAAGGAAGCCAGTCAGAAACTCTGTGACCCCCTCTTTCAATTGGATTGTGATTGGTTCCTAGGCGCCTCACGGTTGTAAAAATATGGCGCTTTGAAATCGGATTAATCTTTTTAAATCATGCTGTATAAAGGTGTACAGATAATCATCTGCAGTTAAACGTTTTAAAGACAAGGAAGATGATCACCAGCTCGCCAAACTCCCACTGCACTGTTTATAGTCCAGTTACCATCAGGGAGGAAGATGTGGAGGTGGCAGACTGTTATAAGCACCTTGGACAATAAAATAAGCTTTGACCAGCATGTAATGGACCTTGACAAGAGATGTCAGCAGACTTTCTGTTATTAGAAAGTTAAAGGCACACATGTAGCACCTTTATTACTCTGACTCCTCCATTGAAGCATAATTGAGCCCATCATGCTGTTTCGTTCAGCTTGATTCTTCACAATGTTAAAAGTGTTAAACATCAACAAACTGTCACGAATCATATATTGCCTCAAAAATCATAGGCCTCCTCTCGTACAACTTGTCAGACCTAAACAATAGGGCTGTTTTACAACAGTGCACAACCCCGACCATCCGCTGCACTCTTTCTTCATCTTACTTCCATCAGGCTGGAGATACAGAACATTAGCATGTATAAAAAGTCCATATTGCAGAAAGTTTTTACCTCCAGCCATATCAGCCCTTAGCAAGACCCCCCGCTGAAATCCTGCTCCGTAATGCTGGCTTGTAAAAGAAGTCTTGATGCAGAGGCCTCATGTTGGTGCTGTACTTAGGTTTGTTTTGTGTCTATATGAGTTTATGTAGTTTCTAATGTCTGATTTCTGTACATCGACTGTAAAACTACTATTTTCTCTTTGGAGGACAGTAAAGAATCTAAGCTAATCCATATTAATATAGAAAAGTTAATGAAAAGTTACAACATGCTTTTATTATCTACATTAACATGACTTGAGGGTTAAGAAGGTGCTAGAAAATGGTTAAAACATGGCAATTAATTTCTCACCAGGTTGAAAGTATATAATTATATAAATATTAATGGCATACAATTAAGGGTTAATAATAGCTGCTGTCAAGATTCTGGCCAGTGCTTTGGTCAGTAGTTCGGAAAGATAGCAGGATTCACAGACACTGGAGGAGCTGTATTTTAGCCTTTAGACCCAATCCCATTTCTTTTTTTTACCCCTCCCCCTTGTTTGCGAGTGTCACCTTGCCCCTTTAAACTGAGTTACAGGGGTAGTGGTTGAAATGTTCCCACTGAAATGGGACCCTCAAATAAAAAGAGCATCACTTCATTAACAGCTACCAGCGCTGCTCTGTAGGCGACCCTGCCAGTCTGCAGTGACAGCAGAGGAGGGTAAAGTTCAGCTCCTCACTGCTGGGCAATCATTTATTATCACCCCCCCTAATTCTTCAGTGATATGAAGCTGAGGTCAGATATTCACCAGCTTCTTGTTCGAATTTTCCCGTTCCACCTTAAATTGAGCAGCAGTTACATTTTAGGCGTCAGAACTGCTGGACTACTTAAGGTGGAACAGGAAATTCGTCTAGTTAGCTACCGAGACATTAGCATACTTTTAGCAATTTTTTAGCGCTTGTTATGAAGAAAAGGACCATAATACACTGAATCGACGTTAAACTAAGACAATAAAATGGTTATCATAACTCTCTAACAGAAAATACTCACCAGTGTGGGTTCTTTGGTCTCTTCCTCAGTCATCTTGCCAGTTTTTCTTTTTTCCTCATATCACTGTTTGGAGTGTCTCTGGAAAAACCTCCGTTTGGAGGGCCTTGTAGCCCCAACACTTCACCCTACCCCTCTATCTCAACAAGAATTGGGACACCCTACCCCTAGACATGAACGAGCAAAACAGAGGGCTAAGCGCTAATTAGTAGGGTGAGGGTTGAAATGGGATGGGGCCTTAGACTCCTGATATAATTTAGTGCTAGGTGAGTAGTCTGTTACACAGGCAATCAAAAAGAATTGCTCACATGTGTGATATGCTGGTGTTTAGCCCATTCAGGACTGGTAGCGATACACTGAGAAGAAAAATCCAACCATTGTGAATAATCTGTGGACTGCAGTGTTGAATGCGTGGGCAGCAGTTTCTTTAGATTGTTTAAATAAACTTAATGAAAGTATGACAGAGTGGTTTGAGGTGGGTATCAAGGCTAGACGAGCATATAAAACAGCTATAAACTCACTTAATTGTCTGTTTCCTGGGCTGGTACAACATCACAGTGTGTTGTAACGTTATATTGTATTGTATTGAATGAGTACACAGTATGTTGTAGACGTAGCTAGACTTGTTGCATAGAATGAAAAAGAAAAGACAATTAAACCATTAAGCACATATTGATATGAATATATCGTCAGCTAAAATTCCATTATCTTGACAGCCCTAGTGCTCATACGAAGCGATATTTTTGGTTGGTGGACTATTCTCAGTCCTGCAGTGACACTGAGGTGTTTAAAAACTCCAGCAGCACTGCTGTGTCTGATCCACTCAGACCAGCACAACACACACTAACACACCACCACTACGTCAGTGTTACTGCAGTGCTGAGAATGATCCAACCCCCAAATAGTACCTGCTCTGTGAGGGTCCATGGGGGTCCTGACCACTGAAGAACAGGATAAAATGGGGCTAACAAAGTATCAGAGAAACAGATGGACTACAGTCTGTAACTGTAGAACTACAAAGTGCACCTATATAGTAAGTGGCGCTGATAAAATGGACAATGAGTGTAGAAACAAGGAGGTGGTCATAATGTTACGCCTGATCGGTGTGTATTTATATATATATATATGGCTCAGTCTCTGTCAAAATTCTAGTTATTAGCCCATGAGACCTCAGCCATTTAAGAGTGTATATTTTGCAAAAGCACAAGCTTTGCCCTCAGACACCTTGTTGTGCAGCATATAATCTATACAGATGTTCATGTCCTGGACCGTGGCCAGTCCTTGAATGCATTATAAATCATTAATGTAAAGAGAGTTAGCTGAGTAGAGAACCAAGTGCTCCCTGCTAAAGTCCTCTCAGCATGTGTGTGTGTACATGCGTGTTTCTGCCTATGCACATACGTGTTACACTAATGCTAATGCTCATATTTTGAGTGGCGCATGGCTGGCTTTGGACTCTAAATTAAGAGACTTCTCCCGACATCATAAATTACAATAGGCACTCAATCCCATTCATAAATTTGTCTCCGGGTCAGGATCGATATTACGCTGGCAATGGTTCATTTTTCGACAGAATCAATTAATATGAGGATCTATGGGCCAGCGGTGTCTGGCACAGTCTCCTATTCGCCCGTCCTCATCAGAAATGCGATAGCTTCAGCTCCTGCACGACCGCAAGCCTGCCCATCCACTCCAAACACACAGTATTAAACCCCACACTTCATCAACCCCCCGACATTTGTCACCTTTTACTGTTTACGCAGCGCCAGTCAAAAGTTTGGACACACCTAATTGAATGTCTGTCTTTCATCATCTTGAAGACATTTAATCTAAAGGCCTACTCGGATAAAAAAGCACCTATTTCTGCCTTTTAGTTTACTCTTCACATTCAATAATGTGTTTTCTCAATGCTGTAGTCACATTTACTTGGATATGTAAAGAACATAATCTGACAAAACCAAAGATTCAGATTATTTTTTGTTACCATTTTGAACAAGCATACACAGGAATACGAAAACACTTCACGCTTCAGTTGTCTTTTATTGCCTCTCTGGCGAAACAAATCAGTAATAAGCCCTTAGCGATCTGAATTCCATTCTGAATGTGTGAAGAAACTCACTCAAACCTCAGAAACATCAGCGCGTCCAACAATAAAGGCAGCGTTGTGCTTTTCTGTACAGTGATAAAAGAACACTGTAGCACACGGGCTGATATTTTTAACTGTGGCAAATGTACACGGCCTGACTACTCTTGCGGCACATTTTAATGAGGGGACATCACTGAAGTCTCACAGTGTTTCTGAATGTGTTCACTGTAGTCTGAATGCATAAGAGGGGGTTCATTAAGTATAATGGGGTCTTAACACTTATTATTCAGTAGCTACTGTAATGCTAATGTATATGTTCTGTAGTTATGAGTGTGAGGAACTGAAGTGGGCCGTGCGCGGACGTTTAAAGATTTAAATCCATTTCTAAGGCAGGTCTAAACAGTGAAGTTAATGCAGAGTCTTGTTGGAGATGTGTCTCAGGTGGCTCCTCATGCAGCTGTTCGAGAGAAAGCCAAGGCAAAGGGGAGCTAAAATAAAAAAGTTTTGATTTCTTCTATGTCTTGTTTTATAAAAAGAATATAAAAAAATATGTAAAAATGAAAAAATTGAGGAAACCTCTCTTTTGAGTGAGTGTGCCTAAACATTTGACTGGTACTGTATGGAGAAATGGTACATACTAGAACAGTCTTGTTATTGTGATGGGAATAAAAATTGTCCTGTGAAGTCTGGGGAGCATTCATGTCTTCTGCTTTTTTCTGTAGGAAAGTTCCAGAACGGGATAGCGGAGGGGGAGGTGGACCCCTCGTTTGGGCCTCTGGAGGCCATGCGGCTCTCGGTAACGACTGACTCTCCCGTGTGGGTCATTCTCAGCGAGGTAGGTGTGACCACCGTGCTGCTCATTCTCCAGGTTTTCTCTCACTGTCAGCAAAGCCCTGACCACACCAGGACGCATTGCAGAGAGCAAATAGACTGCAGCTAAAAGGGAATTCCACTGATTCTCCAAATGTTGTTGTAATTCAGTGGGTGAGATGTAAACAGTGATTCGGAGTGGTGTGATGTGAAATAGCTCAATACAGAGAAACCCTTATTTCCAGTGGTGGTGATGGGAACCAGGGGTCATGATGTCTACAACACAAATATAGCCATTTTATTTACTGTCCAGAATGGATAGTGAAATAGTCGTACATCCTAAAAAATAGACACTAAAATTAATATTAATGAACTAATATTAATACTAATATTAGTGCTTATTTTTTAAGATTTACGACGATTTCATTTGTCCACATTCATACTTTTGCACACGACTACATGTTTTACGCATGTTTTGAGGTGTCAGGCTGTGTATTTATAACCATTCCATATATTAACTTCCTGTGAGGGAGCTTTTAGAGACATTAACCTCTTCAGACGTCTGGTTCCCATCACCACCACTCTGTACAATTCTGCTGTAGAAGTAGAGATGGACCAATCAGTGTTTTTGGGGCCAATACAGATCGTCAATCACCTTTCAGTGCTATTGGCCAGTAGCCGATACCGAGTAAGGGCGGGGCTGAACTGTTCACACCAAGTACGTTTTTTTTGGGATGAAAAATACATGTTCGATTTTAACGTAGTGGGAACTTCTCACCAAGCGTTTTTCTGTCTAAACACACTGAAAACTTTTTTTTCTTTTTAGCACTGCAACTAAACAGTATAAACACTAGGTACATCTCCTTATACTAAAAAGACAACAGCACGTGGAGTCACACCACCCCTTACAAGAGCTACAGCTGAATATGGAGAGATTCTGCAGGTATTTCCACAGTTCAGTAGCGGAATTCGAGGCTGTGCTTCCACGTGTTTCTCCTCTCATTAAACAGGAGCGAATAAACTTCAGTTAAATACTGGTTCTGTAATGTGCTCACCATCATTCACACCCTTCTAGCTCTTGTCCGGCACATGTTGTTTATAACATCTGCATTTTTTTAGTCAGAATTTGCTTTTGTGCTCTGTTTCAAGCAAGAGTTCTGCCGCCATCCTGACGCACGTTTGTTTGGGCTGCAGCCATGCGGAGCTCTGATTGGTCAGCCTGATTTTAATGCAACCGTACAGGGCAGGAAGTAAGCTGCATCCGAAATTCACTATATAGTGCACTATTTTGGGGATCTGCCATTTTGTAGTGGTGTCCAAAAACGTAGTGCAAAGATCTAGTGCATTCAAACAGTCCCACAATGCACCGCAATAAGTAGTGTATAACCGATGTACCCTAGTGGATTGGTGATCCTCATAATGCACTGCGCTATTTGATTTGAAGATTCACACACAATTTCTCAGAGTAGGATTACTGAGCCCAGCTCTACCCAGACCTGTTACAGATGTCAGTAAGCTCTTCTGATGTGTGCAGTCAGACTCAGTGGTTATAATGGACTGGGGTCATGATGTTTATAGTGTTTATGCGATGAAACCTGCTGCCGCACAGTTATGAGCAGACCCGTATGTCGTAGGGTCCGAAATAGTTCACTACCATCACCAATTCTGTTCCCTACAATAGTGTTTTATATAGTTATCCAGATTTTTAAATGTAAGGTATATTGATTAGGTGACCGTTTCGGACACAGCAGTAGAGCAGGCTGTCGCTACCTGACCTGCATCCTCTGCCCGATTTGCACCGCGCTATCATTACTATCATTTGTGGTTTAGCATGAGAGCCTCTCTGTGGCTGAATCTCAAATGGCTCCTTACTTTCTATATAGTGCACTGCACAGGGATTCTCCCCCGAAACAGTGCACTAATCATAGGATGTTGTGCAGCTTTGACCCAATATAAATGGCTTTTATTTGGACACATACTACACTGTTTGTGTGGAGAAACCAATATATAATGAGCTATATAGTGCACACTACACAGGACGTAGAAAGCCTTTTGAGATTGAGCCTATATTTTGCCCAGCGGTGTTCAAGCTGTTGTTATTGTGGCGCAAATACAGGCCAAGAATGACATTGTACACAAAGCAAAATGGCTCAGGTGGATAATGACACCTTAATGCTCTGTGTTCAACATACACACACAAATACTGCTTTAGAATATGGTCCTTTTGTTACAGCTTAACTACACATCAGCACTACAGATCGGGCAGTGCCGGTAAAAGTAATGTGCTCTGTGCATGCTGACAGTGGTGCGCATGCGCGGTGCAGATCAGGCAGGGGACCCAGATCAGGTAGAGACACAGTCTTCTTTAATAAAAAGTATGCAGTGTCGCAGTCTGTCAGTTTCAGACTCAGTGTGTTTCAACGCTCATTGTCCATTTTATCAGCTCCACTTACTATATAGGTGCACTTTGTAGTTCTACAGTTACAGACTGTAGTCCATCTGTTTCTCTGATACTTTGTTAGCCCCCTTTTACCCTGTTCTTCAGTGGTCAGGACCCCCGTGGACCCTCACAGAGCAGGTACTATTTGGGTGGTGGATCATTCTCAGCACTGCAGTAACACTGACGTGGTGGTGGTGTGTTAGTGTGTGTTGTGCTGGTCTGAGTGGATCAGACACAGCAGTGCTGCTGGAGTTTCTTAAACACTGTGTCCACTCACTGTCCACTCTATTAGACACTCCTACCTTGTCAGTCCACCTTGTAGATGTAAAGTCAGAGACGATAGCTCATCTGCTGCCGCACAGTTTGTGTTGGTCATCCTCTAGTCTTTCATCAGTGGTCACAGGACGCTGCCAACAGGACGCTGTTGGCTGGATATTTTTGGTTGGTGGACTATTCTCAGTCCAGCAGTGACACTGAGGTGTTTAAAAACTCCAGCAGCACTGCTGTGTCTGATCCACTCAGACCAGTGCAACACACACTAACACACCACCACCACGTCAGTGTTCCTGCAGCGCTGAGAATGATCCACCACCCAAATAGTACCTGCTCTGTGAGGGTCCATGGGGGTCCTGACCACTGAAGAACAGGGTAAAAGGGGGCTAACAAAGTATGCAGAGAAACAGATGGACTACAGTCTGTAACTGTAGAACTACAAAGTGCACCTATATAGTAAGTGGAGCTGATAAAATGGACAATGAGCACAGAAACAAGGAGGTGGTCATAATGTCATGCCTGATCGGTGTGTGTGTTCATTTTTAAAACTTTTTTTTCCATCTGAAAAAAATCAGACTGTGTGAATAGGCCTTTAGTCCTGTAGTCAGCGGTCAAAAGGTCTGTATTTCCATCTATCATGTGAACAATGAACTTCAGGGTCCTGTGACCAAGGAGCCTCACGCAGGGCTGCAGGAATGTTTAACTCACAGAATATGGCTCGTATGTTTTACGTTCAAGAGTTCAAGTTCAAGAGACGTTTCAGTGAGGTATTTCAGTGAAATGCAATAATTATATTTATATTTAAACACTGTGTCACAGACATAAACTGGAACTACGCAAAGTGGAGCGTGAGATGGTCTCAAAATTGCTATGTATAAGTGTGTATATGTCACTAATCAGCTCTCAGGAAATATCGACGATCACATATTCAGGCTGCAAATTAGCTGATACCAATACGTAGCCGATCAATCCTTCCACCTCTACTCCGAACGTTTCTCTAGAACCCCAGATTTCACATCAATGACTTTACATGGCCTCTTAAATGCTAAGGGTGTATATTTAAGCCCATTTTAATTTCCCTACGCTCAGTTTGAGAACTGAATAATAAGTCTGTGTTTAAAATAGTCAGTGAATCATTGGGGTGAGTAAGAGAGGAGTGTTAGAAAGTTGATTTATTTATTTTTTTGACCTGCTTTGACCTGTCTCAACTCTTACAACCCATATTCCGTGCACTCAGTGATGCTTTTCGGCACTTTTATAGGAAAATCTTGTATTTTTGAAACAACAGCTTTATAGACAGAAGAAAGAAATTATGTTGCTATAATAAGATTTCATACCGAGTCATTTTGTACCTGTTTCAACTGAAATGTTCACAGTTATAATGGGTTACTTGGGTTTTCTAAGTGTAAAATATATATATATATATATGGTTTTGTTTTGACAGTCCACAATGAAAACAATGAAAGTTAAACTCTCTTGCAGTCTGTCTAAGTGTGACTTTGTATCAGGAAAAACTGGAAGTGCTACATTTCCCTCGTATTTGTCCATATTCTTATTTGAATTAAACCAGTGGTCCCAAGTCCTGGTCCTTGAGTGCCCCTGCACTATATGTTATAATGTCTTCTCTGCTCTGACACACCTAATTCGACGAATCAGCTAATTAACAAGCCCTTCCTGATTTGTTCTGTGTGCGCTATGGCAGGAAAATGTTATATTGTGCAGAGTTTGGGTCTCCAGGACTGCTTTATTGCATTAAACTTTCTCTTTTTTTTACAGATTTTCATCAAGAAAGCCGAGTGAAGGGTGCCTACCACAATACCTCACCATTTTGTTGGGCCTTTCGATGCAGGACGGTGTCTTTCCAGCGCCTCCACCTGAGCATCGGCTCAGAGTTTCTTTAGCTTGGTCCAAGAGCGTCACCTGCTGGCGCCCCGCTGACGTTGCAGGGTAACAGTAGAGAAGGCCAGCTGTAATCCTGACTAGTCGAGCGGAGGAGGGAGGAAAACGCGATGGACAGACTGTGGGGCTGTCTTTTGTAATTTATGTGTAAATACGCTCATGGTTCAGTGACTCTACACTGGTATATTGTCAGCGGGCTCTGTCTGGATGATCTTGCCCTTTTTGACAATGGCAAATTTTCTGACTTTCGACAATGCTGCTTTTGGAATGGGGGACTCTTTCGTTTTCCTATACGAGACAATGATTTTTGCCAACTTTTTGTTATCATTTAATAGGCGACTGATTTTCGGTGGAGGGTTTGCTATTCCGAATCAAACGTAGTTATTATGATGCGTACACATGTTACGAATACACACAGATATAATCGTAATAAATGTGCGTTTGTGTGTGCAGACGTCTAGAGTGAACTCCCTCCCTCCCACCCCCCCAAAATGTCAATCTGAAGGATTATAAACTATAAGCAATAAAAGGAAACAATGAAAACTATGAATATTGAGGAAATGTAATCAACCCCTTAAAAAAAGCAGATCTTCCGGCGCTTTGATGAATTCAGATCAGATTTTGACAGAGGTCAGATGTACAACTGCTCTTTTTCCCTCCCTCCGCTATCAGTTTGTTTTAAAGTGAAGGAAAGTGAAGCAGAGCATGGTGAGCTGCCAGTAGATTGGGTTAAAAATGATAGCGTAAACAGACACAGGCTCTGTGATCGAATTAGACGAGGCAAACAGACGTCCCACCAGAAACAGATAATAAAGTTACGTCTATGCAGTTTGGGCCAAGACTGGACCATCACTGACCGTAGCCTACATGGACCCCTTAATGGCTTCTGGGTCTTATCGGCAGAACAGTTTTCACCAGCCCTTGCAGTGAGAATCCTTTTGTTTTCAGTGTGATATTACGTTCCTCATGCCTTAAAGTGACACTTCTTCAGGTTCAGTTCACAGCATGTAACTGCTACTATGATCACGGGGAATCTTTTTCCATTATACGAAAGACTGTAGGAGAGAAATGAGACGTATTTGAACAGCCGAAACCTTTAAATCTGGCTGTTTCAGAGTAAAGGCTTGGTGTCCAGGTTGGCCGGATCATCACAGAGACAGTACCTTCTTAACCAGTGCTGATCAACAGGCAGGACAGGAATCTAAACTAGGCTGACCAAAACTTCTTTGCTGGTATGTTTTCAGAAGAACTGGAAGTGCTAAAACAAGGTCGAGGTCAGGGGTCGAGCCACAAAGGCTACGTTCACATTACAAGCCTCATTACTCAAATCTGATTTTTTGCTCAAATCTGATCTCTCTGACATGGCCTGATCTCTTCACACTCGTTTAGGTAAGTGACTCAAATCTGTCATTAATGTAACCGAACCGGCGTCCTGAAATGACCCTCATGCGCACATCCTACTCAGTAACGTCACGTTAATGAATCACGTTCATCATCAGCACAAACTAACGAGCAGAACGAGCTTCGCTGAGAAGATAATTAACTCTGATCAGCTCTCAGCTTCATTATTAGAGCCAGACGAAGGAGAAAAAAGTGGGTGAGCTGCTTTTCTGTTCTGTTCGGCTGCCATGGTAACGCTGAATGATGGCGCACGCGCAGTGAAAAAAGGCTCATGAAATCCGATCTGAGCGTCATTTAAGGTCAGACGGCCACAAATCGGACACGTATCTGATGTAGGACCACGTACGAAAGTGGCTCAGGTCAGATTTGAACAGATCAGATTTGTGTCCACACTGCCCTGAAAACATCAGATCTGAGTCACATTAGGGCAAAAAATCGGATTTGTGCCACTTCAGCCTGGTAATGTGAACGCAGCCTAAGAAGCTGGAAGATCTCAGGGTCAGAGAAGCTTCTCCTTGGTGAGCGTTCCACACAGCAAGATTTCTCACTTAAAGCGTTTTTTATCTTCTGCATCTGTAGCCTGTGGATTATTACTATGGATAGTCATCTCCCAGAGAAAAGAGCAGAAAAGCCATCAGCTCAAAACATAATAAAAGCCAGCAGGTTGGTGCTTTAGCATCTGTCTGTTTAGCTTCTTTAATAAACGTTTCAGTCAATGGCTTTTTTGTTCTTCCACTAAGTGCAGGTAAAACATCAGAATGATTGTCTGTGGTAAATGACCATATGCTGCTGATTTCACAGACAGAAATTAGGGTACCTCTTTACAATAAGACCCCCCTTATGAAGGATGGTTTGTGAATGGTTTTAATGGATATGAATCCATCCAGTGAGCCCACATACATCTGTACTGTTAAACCTCAGATCTGATTGGTTACTTCTTACATCTTCTACATAACTCAGATATTCAGATTCATCACATATAATAGGCCACTGTCACCCTGTTTATTTGTATGTTATAAGTGCTTATTAATAATTTGGTATCTAATACCACTTTACAACGACACAACCTTTACAAAGAGTTTTTGAACGGCTTAAAATTTGTTAATTATTATTAATTAGGTCGTAGGTCATAACTTAAAATTATTGGTAACACTTTATTGTAGGTTACTGTTCATAAGGCTACATGACACTTATATAAACTTGTCAAGACCACTGACATAAATCTACATTAATGTTTTAAAATGTTTCAGTAGCTATAAAGATTACATTTGCCTTAGTTAGTAAAAGTAGGCTTTATGACAGATGACACCTGCTGGAATAAGCCTTTATATTTATGTAGGGTTATGTCAGCTGTCTTGACACGTTTATATAGTTGTCATGTAGCCTTATGAACAGCACCCTACGGTAAAGTGTTACCAATAATTTGAAGTTATGACCTAATCAATGATAATTAGCAAATTTTAAGCCATTCAAAAACTCTTTATAAAGTTGTGTTGTTGTAAAGTGGTACTTGCATTAGATAGAAAACCGTAAGTGTTCCTTTAAACCCGAAGTCTATCCAAGAAGAGGATTAGAACTTAGGACGTTCACATGGATTTATGTATTAAAAACAGTCATAAATTCATTTCAAATCCATGTCCAGCCTCTCTGGATCCCTTACAATTAAACAGTCTGCTTTTGCTCCTTTGTCTTCAAAGGAAAACTCCACTGATTTTTTCAACATTTCTACATAATTAAATGATTAAGATATAAACAAAGTCGTTCAGAGTGGTTTGATGTGAAATGTTCCATTTTAGAGAAACCTACAGAGAGAATTGTTTACACTGGTGGTGATAGGAACCAGATGTCTGAAGAGTTTAATGCCTTTAAAAGCTCCCTCATGAAAAGTTAATACATAAGCAGTTACGAAGGCACTGCCTGATGTCTGACACATTGTTTTGAAACAGTTTTGTGATAATGTTTTGGCTTAAAATGTATTTTGTTTTTTCAGATATGTGACTGTTGTACATGACGTGTGGGTTCACTGGTGGTTTTGGAAAGTAAATAAAATGGCCATATTTGTGTTGTAGACATCGTGACCTCTGTTTCCCCATCACTGTACAGAGTCAGTAAGTTTCTCTATACTGAACCTTTTCACTTCAAACCTCTCTGAATGACTTTATTTACACCTGAACCACCAAATTACAGTAATTTTGAAAAATCGATGGAATTCCCCTTTGAGACTCATCTATGTAGAGACATCAGAGCTGACTGGCTGTCCTGTATTGTGCCTCATTCAAAAAGCAGTCCAGACTATCACACTCTGCATAACTTCAGTGTGAATGGGCGGGGCTTAACTGCTGTAGGCTGAATGGGCGGATCTATGACATCACAAAAATTCCAAATGGACTGTTTATTCAGCCTAGTTTGAATATATTTCGTCTACGCAGTGAACTGTATGTCTTGAAACTTCAGCAATGTTTACATACCATGACAGGCTTTTTAAAAGTGAGAAATTCAATGATTTTCCGTGATATTGCCCTTTACGTTCTTCAGATTTACTGAGAAATCCTGCTGGAAGCCTCAACCTTCAGATCGGTCTGAACATACAGTGAAGAGGTCAAGGATGCCTTTCGTTTGTCGGACACAGCACTGTGTGATCCCCATGCAAATTGTCTTCATCCACTCTGAGTTCAGCCTGTTATTTCATTACAGAAGCCACAGTCTCGCAGTACCGAGACAAAAGGCCTCCGTATTCACTTAATATGCATTTGAAAGTCAATGCAAACATTTGCTCACTCTCAACAGGGCTCGTGCCAAAAAGAGTTGGTCGTCGCTGCACCACTGTTGCCACAGAGATGGCTGACGGGTGCCTGAGAGCTGGAGAGATTACCGCTAGCCAAACAAAATATATTAGAGTAACCCCCCCCTCCGCAAAGCAAAGTGACAGGACAAACGTCTTTTTCCCCCCTTGTAAGATTGTAAAATGCACTGGAATGCATTGCTATTGTGTTGTATTTTGTATCATTTAGATAAACTATATTTAATGATGTTCTCTTCTATTCAATCTGTGAATTGTAATAAAGCCAAAATTGAAACAGAGCCTGAGGAAGATGCTTTTTTTAAATGTTATTAAATGTTGAAGTTATTTAACCCTTGTGTGGTGTTGGGGTCTGTGGGGCCAATTTTCAATGTGAAAATGATGAGATTTATTATTATTTCAACCTCAGATTCTTGGCCTTTGCTCATTTTCTGTGAAGAACATATAAAATAACCCATTTTCAGTGTCTTCACTCTGTTCACCCCCCACACATTTATATTACACATGTGGTGTTGGCTGAACCAGCGGGGAGTAAAAGTGTGGAGGTGCTGTGTCCTTCACTCTGTTCTCCTCCTACATGGCCTGCTGTTAGTGTGTGTGTGTGTGTGTGTTTGTGTCTATATGTGTGTGTGTGTGTGTTTGAGGGTGGACAACATGGACAGGCTGCTGACTGGCTACAGCTGCTAAAGGAGAACCCTACACTGACCACTTGTGATATTTTAAACGTCTGGTATTTTTACATAAATTGTTATGACTGTATTGATTTAAAAATTAATAATGCGGTGGGTCCACCAGACCACTGAGTAACAAACACATCAACACCTCACAAGGGATAAATATGAAATCTTTTATATTTGTTAGTGTTGAACACCAGAGGGCTTTTTCACTTTAACAACAAATACCGCTGAGTATCAGGATTCTGTGCTTTCATGGTGTCGACCAAATTACTTACAATTCTGTGTAGTTCAGTACTAAATTTCAGTACCTCAGCAGTCAGTCCTGTCAGCAGTGTGAGCCAGTAAGTGCTGTTCTAAAATCAGAACTGATGCAGGCTTATTGAC